GCACGGGGCATTTTAGGGCAGTGACCCTGCTCTGCGTGATGCTGTACTGGTGAACACGTGGCATCACGTTTGTCCAAGGCCAGAGAGGGTACAACCCCGAGAGCGAACCCCGAGGTAAACTATGGGCTTTGGGTGATGACGTGTCATTTGTCACACACACGTGACTCTGGTCGGCACGCTGATCGCGGGGGAGCTGTGCCTGTGTGGGGAGGGGGATACGGGCACCCTCTGTGCCTTCCTCTCAATTTTGCTGTGGACCTACGACTGGTCTAAAAAAAATATGTCTATTAAAAAAACCCAACCTTTCCCCGATGCTCAAGCCACCTGTCTGCTTCCCTCCCAAGGGCCATGAGGCCCCGATAACCGCGGCCTCACCGATAACCGAGGCTCACGAATCCCACCACCCAACTCCTTCTCCCGCCCGCCCCCGGCCTCCATCGTGGCTTCGCCTCCACCATAATAGTCTCACCTCCTCTGATCTCTTACACTCCAAGGAGCACGAGTGACCCTTCTAAAGCATCCGTTATGTCCGTGACGTACACATTAAAGCTCACATTGTATCACTGCCCTTGAAACTGTAAATCCTCACTGTGGTCTCTAAGCCTCAGCCCTCACCCTAACCATGGCTCAAGGTCAGCTCTTCAGCCTCATGGCGCCGCTTGCTCTGCGGCCGGCACATCGGTCTTCTCCGTGCCTCCCACGTGCCAAGCTCTCCGCCTTGAACGGGTCTTTTGACTATTGCTTGAGAATCAGTTTAAAAGTCTGTCCTTCGGAAAGTTCTTTTTGACCAGCTCCCCGTTCTAAGTTCGTCCTCCCTTGTTAAGGCTCTCACAGGCCCCACCTTTCTCCTTAGAGTGCTGGCCGCGGTCCACAATGGCACGCTTATTTCCGGGGCATCGGCCGGTTGTCTGTTTTCCCACTGGACTGTAACCTCCGCGCTAGGGAGATGCGTCACAGTTTCATCTCAGCGTTGTGGGACCGGGGCCTCACCCAGCACCTGGCATCACGGCGGATGCAGTCAAGGTCCTGTGAGGGAGTGTTGCCTAGGATGGCACTGTGCTCGGGCACCAGCAGGAGCTGCCAGGGCTGGACAGGTGGCCCAACCACTTACCCATGGTGGCGGGTGGCGTGGGAGTGCCTGATCTTGCCGCTGACGTGGCAAGAGGAGGGAGCTGAGCGTCAAGGCTGGGCACCCGCATTTAGGAGTGGGAAGCGGGGATCACAGGAAGCCGGCGAGGAGCCGGCAGGTGGAGGAGAGCCTGGGGTGAGCAGGGTTCCGGAGGTCAAGGCTGAGACCTCTTCTGCTTGAGCACGGACCCTGCATTCTAAGAGTTAACCTGGAAATCAGAATTGTCTGGACAGCTGTCGTGACAGAAAACCACAGCCAGAAAAATGAACGAATGCATGAGCCAGGAGAGGAGAGTTCGAGAGATAACCCGGTCCAAGTTTCTCACTCCGCGGCTGAAGAAACGGAGAAGTCGCAGGAAAGTGGCCCGCCCGGAACTGCCCAGAGGGCTCACTCTCCAGCAGAAGCTGGCACGCCGCTCTGTAAAGGCGCAGAGGGCAGAGAGCGCACAGGCCTGGCTGGGCTGGCGGGCTGTGGTCCAGCTATTCAACTCTGCCTCTGGGATGTGAATGCGCAGCGTGACTGCGCCAATGACACCTGGCTGACAGGAACCAGCGACGGCTGGGTTTGGCCCCCGGGCCGCGGTTTGCTAACCTCCGCCCCTGAGCTGCCGCTACTTGCCAGGGGTCTCCGTTTCTCCGTCCACTCGTCAGCAGACTCTAACACTCCCTGGCTTATTTTGCTGTTAAAAATAAAACAAAGCACCATAACTCATTCTGCCCAGTTCTTCTCCTCTGGCTTCACAGAAGACATCGCCATAAGGTGGTTTGCCTGGTCCTGGTCTGCCGGCAGGACAGGGCAGCCACGGTCGTGGGCAGCCAGCCCCCGGCAGCCGGCGTGAATGTTCCCATCCAGCTGGGAAGTGTGCAGAATTGAGGTGGTCTCAGGAAGCTGGTGACGGTCACGCACACCCGCAGGCACTCTGGCTGCCGGGGACACTGCCCACCCAGCTGAGCGTCGGCAATCCTGTGGGATGTACCTTCAAAACACAGCCCCAGAGTCTGACCACTTCTCAGCACCATTGCCGCCCTGGTCTGGGTCACCGCTCCCGCTCCTGGACAATTCTCCCGTAGACGATTGTTAAGTGACGCGTAAATGCCGAGGGTGGGAAGCCGGATTCTCCACTGTCCTCTTCATACCGGTGTCGAGGGCTGCACCTTATACCCCTCGGCCCACGCCCCAGGTCCAGCCTTGCGAAAGCCTCGGCTTATTTGAAAGAATCAAGAGATCACAGAGAGGAAAAGGCAGATTGAAGGGCAGGATGGCCAGCCATGATGCGCTCAGATGCCCCTCAGAATGACAGATGTACCCCCAGCTTCCGGGAGGCCCCTGGGAACACAGCCTCAGCGGTCCACAGGCATGGCAGCGGGCTAGCCTGAGAGAGCTGCCTCACCCGAGGTCGCGTCCCCTTCCCAAGGGGCATCCAGATCCAGCCCTCTTGCCTTAACCCAGAATTACTCTGAAAGGTCATCCCAAATGCAGAGTTCCCTGAAGCCTCCGTCGAGACTGCACTGGAGGACAACTCTTCCCTCTGCCTAGTGCTGCTTCCCCTCCACCCCTCCCTCCCCATGCGAAAGCCGCCATCCCCAGCCACGCGCCAGTAAATGCGCATCACCCTCCCTCTCAGAGCTGAGCCCAGAGAACACGGCACGCGCCACTGGCAAACAGGGTCCAGTCTGACCTGGAGGATGGATGATTCAGAGTCAGCAGATTATAGCCCATACGACCAACCTGGCCCACTGCCTGTTTTTATAAATAAAGTTTTATTAGAACACAGCCACATTCACTCACTTATATGTGGTCTGTGGGTGCTTTTATTCTAGAACAGCTGAGTTAAGTAGTTGCTATGGAGACCATCTGGCCTCCAAAACCCTAACTTAATTACTATCTATCTGGCTCTTTCCAAAAACAAAACAAACAAACAAATTTGTTGGCTCCAGTTCTGGATCATTAAAAATCACATATGTAAAATAAGGACTCCTCAAACATCTCTGGCCCCTCTAGTAAGAAGTGACATGGGACCGCGGGCGCTGAGTCTCATGCAGACGTCCCCGGTAGGCTTGACGCGAATGCACGCAGTCTGACATCAGTGGTGTATGTGCCTTCCTTGTGAGCTGACCTCGCTCACTGCTACTGGGTTACCGTCTAGCGTCGGCACGCTAGTAGACACGGTGCTCGCTGGTGACCTGGGAAGAAAATTCCTTCGGAATCCTTCCTCTCCGGTAATTCACGTCTCTGATCGCTAGTGATGCCAAACGCCACTGAAGACTTCTGAGACCAATGCCACCAGAAGCCTGTGCCCTGACTGGGGCATTCTATGACATGTGGAGGCCGCTCACAGCACG